ATATTTTAGAACAATATGGCATGACCTTACACCAATGAAATATAGAGCAAACAATCAGGGGGAAAAAAATTGAGATTTTAAAAGAATATGTTCTCAAAATCTCAAAAAAGAAAATAGTCTCAACTACATCAGCTACAGAAAATAAAAAAAAAAGGGAACAAGATAAAGATACATAATGTAATTAGTAATGGGCATGGAATGTGAGTAGACATTTCTCCAAAGACAAAATACAAATGGCCAATGACTGCACCAAAGATGCTAGATATTAGTTATCGGGAAACTACAGCTGATACTTGTTCTCACCACGAGAACAGCTGTGGAGACAGACAGACCGGAACTGGCCAAGATGTGAGGAAGGTGGGGCCCTCACACGCAGCTGATAAGAAGGAAAGTGGAGAAGCCACTTCGGAAGACAGCCTGGCAGGTCCTCAAACTCATGAGCATGCAACCACATAACACAGCAATTCCACTCCTAAGTAACTACGTACCCAGGAAAAGCAAAAACAAATATCAACATAAAACTAGTGCAGTCATGTGCCAAATAACGCTTCAGTCAAGGACGGACCGCATGTATGGAAGTAGTCCCACAAGATCTGAAAAAATCCTACCACGGTCATCGTAGCGTTGTAGCATAAGGCATTACCCACGCATTCGTGGTGGTGCCGGCATAAACGAGCCTCCTGTGCCGCCAGTCAGATCAAAGTGTAGCACAGATAATAATGTACACGCCACTGGATGATGATAATAAACAACTATGTCACCGCTTTATGTATTTACTATTGTGAGGAAATTTTCCCAAGGTGCCAAGAGACCGAAGAAAGAGGCTGACGACTCCAGCAGTAAAAGAGGAGCCTCCAGGGGAACTTACAGAAAGAAGCGGAGGCTTCTCTGCAGCAAGATGGCATCTCTGCAGCAAAAAGGGGCTGTGGGTGTGGGATATACAGCGAAGGGGCACGTGCCAACGCAGGTGGCTTGTAGCTATGTGGCATGTGCTTCTTAAAGAGCTGTGTAACCCAAAGCAGCAAAGAACTTAATCAGCCCACCTGTCTATACGAGAACGTTTCTTTCAGGTGATGGGGGCCCATCCTCCAAAAGTAACTGTCATCCAGCGGGCTCCATAAGACGGCATTGGTCATGTTAAGTAATTGGCATCATTTTGCCTAATGACTACACTATATTTTTATCATTATTTTAAACTTTTTCTACTTATAAAAAAAAGTGAGGTGTAAAACAGGACTCCGTGTTACGCTAGCAGCAGCCTCCGACACCTCGTGTTTACCGTGTCTCTTGACTGCAGCATCTTCTCTTGTGCTTGCCTGAATCTCGCGTTGTTTGGAACAGTAACCCGCTGTGCAAGCTTGTAGCCAGCGAGCAGTAAGCTGTACCACACAGTCTAGGGCTGCACTAGGCAATGCCATCTAGGCATGGATCACCTAGACGAAAGCACCTAAGGGTGCCTGTCTAAAAATGTATCCATCCTTAAGCGGCACATGACTGTATAAACATATTCACAGCAGCATGAATCATAATAACCAAAACATAAAAACAACTCAAAAGTCCATTAACTGAATCTGATCATCGAAACAGGATAGTCACATGGAACAGTATGTGGCAACAAGAGAAAAGAAGCAGCGATCGACGGCGCAAACTCAATGACTGTGCAGAGCATGAAATCATTTGCGTGAGACGTACAGAAGTAGTAAATCTATAGAAACAGGAAGTAGATGAATAAATTGCCAGGACCCAGGCATGTGGAGGCGGGGTAGATGCAGGGTGACTACCAGTAGATGCAAGTTTTCTTCTGGGGTGATAAAAACATTTCAAAATTACAACATAGAAATGTTTACACAATTCTGTATACATACCAGATACCATTGAATTTGATACTTTAAATAGGAAAACTTTATGTTATGTAAATTATATCTCAATTAAAGTGGTCTTTAAAAATTTCAGACAAACTAAAAATATATTCTTCTTAAACTAATAACATTTTTATTTAAATGCAAAAGAATATGAGCAAATAAAAGAAAGTGTAAAAAAGGAACAAAATTTCAGATGATTCAGACATTAAGCACATTGAGGAGATATTACAAAACATTCGTGGAAGAGATTTTTTAGATTGGATGTAATCAGATAAATGTATAGACATCAGTACACAGTAGCTGAGAAGATGCAAATGAACAGATTTGAGAATGTCATGGTCACTACATACACAAAAGCAGTCAAATACCCGCATACTCTAAACACAAGTCTCAAACAATTCTTTGGCCAGATAACAAATACTCAAAAGTCAGTGGCATCTAATTATAAAAAAAAAATCGCAGAGTATTACCAAGACCAGAAAGGAACAATTCCAAAAATATTCAAAGGAAAAAAATTCATAAATATAAAGGCAAAAGGCTTTTTAAATGGAAATCCAACACATAAATGTATATGTAAAAAAACATAAGTCACAACCACATTCATTTAATTCCTGAAAAGATGGATTAAATATTGATTGTTCAATGAGGATAATTTATTTCATTATTGGAAAAAACACACCCAACCCACAGACTTCCAATCCACAAATACTGAGGACACGCCTGTCTCCTATTACTCTTCATTCATGACAATACAACTAAAAGACAAGGCGGGAACACGCACAATCACAAAGAAATTGGTGTCCACGTAAAACCCAGACCAACTTCCTACTTCGCAGCAAAACATTGCAACTGTGCCCTCTGAGGGCAGGAACAGGAAGGCGAGGACCGGCGCGGATACAGCCCACGCCTGTGAAGGCCCGGA